GTATATAAAATATAAAGAAATAAATACTATTGTTTTTGTTCAGGCAGCCTCTCACATGAATCAATTCCTGAGTGCCTTCTATGCTTTGCTTTGCTGTTGACACCACTGGAGTGTTTCTAACCTTTTATATGATCCCCTTCCCCTGATGATCTCCTTCCTTTTTGGTTCCACAACAACTTTTTCTCTTTTCATTTCCATGAGAGGAAACTGGATATACTTTACCAGGATGTGGGGATCTGTGGGATTCAATTTGGGTTTCTAACTCACTTTTGTGATATTGTCTATTGATGACATATCAGAAACAAAATAAAAATAGTTATTTTATAACCCATGATTTTATATTGATGTATTGGAATTGGTGTGTTGGGTATGTGCATTATGAACTGGACCAAAATAAATACTACTTGGAACAGTATATGCTTGATTTGTTTCCTTCAATCTTTTGACTTTTTAGATTCTATTCACCTGCTTCCTTATTTATCTAATTTATTGTAACTAGACAGTTTTCATATGTGAACTCTGAGCCTCTTCAGTTCTGAAAACCATTCCAGGCTTATCTCTGCCTTTCCCCCATCTGCCTCTTCCATCCCACCATCTCCAGTGCCTGTAATAGTGGCATAGATAATGTCTGGCTATGGCATCATGAGATGATCTCAGCAATTGAATGGGGACCCAAGGCTATGCTGTAAGAAAGAAAGGGCCCCAACATCTAGTAATTCTAGTAATTCTTCTAATAATTGTATGGAACAATGATGTCACTTCCAGGTGACATGCTAGGCTGCCTCGCCTAATGTCTATGGTCTTTACCCTAGGAACTGGGGGGGGGGGAATTCTGAGAGTATCACTATGTGGAGGCCATTTTTTTTGTTCCTTCTTAATGATAGGATTTGGAGCAGCGTCTTGCCCTCTTAAAAAGTTCAAAAAATCTTTTTTTAAAGAGAATGTTGAGGTAGCTTCATGCTTTGAAACAGAAGTCTGTAGCAAAGATAATTTGCAGACACACTCAGCTACCATCAGCCTCCTTTAAGAAGTCAAGTGAATGCTATCTATTGCATTTTTGCTTATGGTATATGAAGCTTATCATCTGGGTTTTGTCTCTTGTTTCTTTCATTTGAGAGCACTGTGGGTCTGCGTGCCTTTTTTTGTAGTGTTTACAGTTTCTGAAGCAGAGAATTCAGATGACATCTTGTAAACTGACATCTTGTAACCCAAAGGCTCTTGCAAGATTATTTTCAGGGTTGATGTGTAAACAGATTCATGCTGTTTCCTTCCCCCTTTTTATATAAACCAGGAGATCTACACAGGAAAAATAAAATGAGGCTTAAAAGATACCACATGAGCAAAAGCTGCTGTGAGAACCAAAAAGGATGGCAAACATCTGCTTCATGCATCAGTAATTGCATCTGAAACTTTCCCCCCCATTACGGTGTTGCAATATCATAGCCCTTTCAGGAGTCCCATTTATCTTTATTTGAATCTCCTTGTGTGACCTGGAGGAAAGCTTTGTCACTCAACGTCTATGTGATTCTGAGGAAAAAATACAATTCAGTTTTAGAGGTCTTTTCTTTAAGAAGATCACAAGCAACCTATATCAGAGGTTTGAATGGAAGAATACATTTTTGCCTAAATAAGGCTTTATTCCTGACACATCATTTTAAGGCTTTCCAAGTCTGTTGTTGATCTGTGCACTGGGATGCTCTAAAAACTAACTTGGGCCTGCAGTTCAGTAGCCATGCAGACATATAGCTAAAGTGCTCCCTAGGTCCTTTTTCCTGGAACACCCTCTACATATCAAGCCAGCATAGGACTGCCAAATGTGGGCGAGGGGCAGGGAATCCCCCGCTTTGAAGCCCCGATTTCCGATGCGGCGGAATCGGGGCCCGGGGGAACCCCGCCCCCGGCGTGCGCGTCACTAGCAAGTGACGTGGGCACGCCGGGCACACTGGGGGTGGGGCCACGGCCATACAAGGGGAAACTCTATGGTTTTCCCTTGTATGGCTGTGGCCCCGCCTCCAGCATGCCCAGCGTGCCTACGTCACTACTGGGTGACGTGCATGCGGCGCGCGTGCACAGCCCCGACGCCGGCCGGGAGCCCCTCGCTCCCAGCGAAGACAGATTTGGCAACCCTAGGCCAGCAGAAGACCTGAGATGAATAAGCCTTATTAGAGCGGTATATAAACTGAAAGTTAAATAAAAAAATGGTATGCTAATGAGCTACTAGGCTATTAGCATATGCCATGCACCTGAAATCACCAGAAGTGATGTCAGAAGGAAAAGCAAAAGGGGGGGAGAGGCATCTTCAAAAGCCTCCCCTCCCCTTCCCCAGCTGGCCTGGGGGGGAGCGAAGAGAGAAGGGGTTTAAAGTTTACTAGAGTTGGGTCACAGAAGGAGGAAAGAGGGAAGGAAAGAGAGAGAGTAGAGAGAAGGAAAGAAGGAAGGAAAGAGGGAAAGAAAGAGAAGGAAAGAAGAAAGAAAAGAATGAAGGAAAGGATAAAAAGAGAGAAGGAAAGAGGGAAAGAAAGAGATGGAAAGAAGGAGGGGAAAAAAGAGAGAAGGGAAGAAGGATGGAAAGAGGGAAAAGAGGAAAAAAGAGAAGAAGGAGGGAAAGAAAGAAAGAGAGAAGGGAAGAAGGAGGAAAGAGGAAAATGAGGGAAGGAAAGGAGGGAATGAAAGAAAGAGAGAAGAAAAGGAGGAAAAGAGAGGAAGGAAGAAAGAGAAGGAAAAGAGAGAAAGAAAAGGAGGGAAACAATAGGAAAGGAGGGAAAGATGGCAAAGAGATGGAGGGAGGGAGGCTCTCCCCCCCATCAAGCCCCCACCCCCCCACCTCCATGGCTCCCTTACTTACCGCTTCGGCGGGGGCCGGTGGATACTGTAATGCAGGGGTTCCCAACCTTTTTGAGCCTGTGGGCATATTTGGAATTCTGACACAGCATGGTGGGCACAGGAACCAAACGAGTGTCACAAAATGGCTGACACAGGAGGCAGAGCCAGTCACAAAACGATTGCCACAGCTTAACTTCAGGAACACAGTGCAGGTGCTTGTGGTGTGGTGGCAACTGCTGCCAAAGCAACATTAAAAAAAATCTGCACAGCCAATCAAATCAATAGTCAACCAGAAGCCCTGCTGGGAAAAAGCCCTACCTGGCCTTGCCCACTTCCTAAAAAACACTTGGCAGGTTGTCAGTGGCCACCCTAGGGCCCACGGGTACCATGTTGGGGGACCCTGCTATAATATCTAGTTTGGCCCTCAGAGTCCTCAAAGTGTAAATTCTTATGTACCTTGGAAAGCTAGTTTGACTGGATGGACAATGGGTAAATATGGAAAACTCTTTTTTTTTTGCTGCTGCTGCTGAGCAGGTTATTGCTTAACAATTAACAGCTGAAACCTTGTCTAGGACTGAATAGGGGCTGAGAAAAAACTGGAATGATCTTTAAAATTTGTTACAGAATATCTAAACATTTAATCCTTATCAGCTATGAACTGCTGCAACTGTTTATGGAAAGGTCTGTGTCACTCCCTAAATGTGGGTTTCTACAGTAAATAAATCATCTATTCATTACGTTCTCAAGCAGATTTCTGAGATTTAATTATCAAAAATCCAGTGCTTCATCAACATAGGAGGTAAACAAATGGGTTATTTTATGTCTCTCTCTCTCTCTGTGTAGGTGCATTTAGGTGTATGTGTGCATGTGTGTATGTATATAGAATTTCACAAAGCATGATTTTAATTTTGATACATTATGTATAAGAACTTAAAATAAGGTAAAACAAGACATCAGGAAAAAAAATGCTATCCTAGACTACATAACAATGTATACTGGTAAATTCTATCAGTTTTGATAAATTAGACTCCCATTTGTTAAAACCGTCTTTTCGACTAATTTGCTTGGTTTCATTTCATTGCTTTTCATTTCTTCCAAAAAGAACACTAGAATGAACACTAGAACACTTTTCAATGTCCAACTATCCAGCCACCTATGAATAGCAGTTAATGTTAAGGATCCGGACAAGCGGATAGGTCGGTTCTAGGATGCTCTCCTTCTATTGTCCAAGGATGCGAAGCTAGGTCAGTTCGCCTGGCCACATGTTGTGTCAGAACACAACAGTCACAAATTGCAAATTTGTTATATTCAAAGTCATACTGGGAAACACACAGATTTTATTCATTTTTAAAAATTCAGTTATACCTTTCCTTTCTGCCCAATGGGGCCCTGAAGCGGTTACCATCATTTCCCTCTCCTCCATTTTTATCCTCCTAACCCCATGAGTTGGTTAGTTAGGTTAGGCTGAGAGTGTGTGACTAGCCCAAAGTCACCAAGTAAAATTCCAATGCAGAGTGGGAATTCAAACCCAGTCTAAAACTCTGACCAATATGCCGTACTGGCTCTAGATTGTCGTTTTCTGTTGTTGTTGTAATTCATCCAGTTCCTTTTTTACTCAATAATATCATAATAACCTGCAGATATTTAACTTTTATGGGTCAAAAAAATTTCACACACAGTTTGTAAGGCACCAAATAATCTGGGGTTTGTGCTTCACAGAACATACTGTTCTTCATGCTGGGCATTTCCTTCCCTGATGTTTTCACAAGCATTACTCCCATTCTAGATAAAACATGACTCACTTATTGCCCTGTCATGTCCAAATATACAGTATGTCTTAATGTCCCATCAGAATATGTCTGGAATGAAATAGGAGGGCAGAGTTTCAATAGGAAATGGTTATCAGTGGCTGTGTGTGTGTGTGTGTGAACCAATGCCTCCAGTGGCGCTTACTGAAAAATGTACTCTTCCTTTTCTTAACTGAGCAGCTTCCCAGAAGAGTATCAGGCAACAAAAAGGAACTTGTAGTTTACATACAGCACTAAAGATATTGCTGTCTTTTCACATTAGTCACAGGCTACATGCTTGAGACATTCTGGGAAGCCCCTGTTGGGAAGGGGGAAATGGTTAAGATACAAGTTCCATTGCCTCCTGTAATCCACACACAGAAAGAGCTGGAACCCCTTTCTGTAAAATTTGTGAGACCCAAGTCTTAGTAACTACTAAGCTAGTAGCTACTGTTTCCTTCCTTGGACCATTGTGTCTTTATCTGCTTCATCTGTTTTAAAGGCTTTTGGTAAAACTGATACCCAAGTTAATTCTACACAGAAGCAGGCAGGCATGGATGAAACTGAAACATCAGGTGGTGTGCCAGAGGTAAGTGGATGCACTGGCTGGGGGCACCTAATTGTGGTATTAATATCCTTTCATTTTGTGATAGGATGATGTATTATCATTTTATAAATTGTGACTGAATACCAACCAGTACTAATGTATTGATTAGTACATTAAATGTACTGAGGAAATTTGTTTGATATGTGTTGTCATAATGTGTTTTAAAACAGTTTTTTTTAGTACTCTGCAGGAAAAAATTATTGAAACATATTTTAAAAAATAAAAAACAAAACCCACCATAGTAGCAGTAGTTTCCTACTTCACTTTTGCTTAAATTTGAACATTTCTCAGCTGGAGAAATCTTCAGAACCATCTCACAAATATGAATAGAATCATGGTTCTTATTTGTCACCCAGTGTCCAAGTACTTCAACACGTGTGGATTGTACCATATAGTATTTCAGTTACATATTTGACAGAGTAGTATTTCAGCCCCATAAATTGTGAAGTACTTTAAAATAACATTTGGGTAACTCACATGCAGAGTTTGCCGTGGGAGAGCCACAAATGCCAGGTAGATTTTTAGGGTGCAATCAAATCGCAACATCTGGCAAGCGTAGCGCACCCATGGCCAACCTGTGGCTTCTGGCCGCAGATGGGCAGTTAAAAAGTGCAGCATCTTCAAAAGCCTCCCCTTTCCCTTCCCCAGCCAAGGCAGGCTCAGAGGGAAGCGAAGAGTGGATCTTTCCATTGTATTCTGTGGCCCCATAGAATATATAAAAAAGATGACTCTAGAGAGAAGGGGTTTAAACTTTAAACTCCTTCTCTCTTTGCTTCCCTCTCCCCATCCCGCCTTGGCAGGCCAGCTGGGGAAGGGAAGGGGAGACTTTTGAAGATGCCTCCCCCCCTTTCTGCTTCCCCTTCTGACATCACTTCCAGTGATGTCAGGGGGTGTGGCATATGCTAATGAGCTATTATGCTGGACTTAGAGGGATCATCTATCTGATATAGCAGGGCTCTTATGTTCTTAACTTTGTCTGTATAAAATCCCATTGAACTCAACAGAAGCTTCCTAAGCATTCAGTCCATATCTTATGGTAAATAACTTTGAACTACTTTTGGGTAACCAGCTTTGCTATGGACAAGGCAGTGACAGTCACCAAGAAAACAAGGACTGATGTCAAACCAGAGAGCCTCTTCAGTAGAAACTGAACATGGGGAGGATTTTTCCATGCCCAGCAGAACCAGCAGATGTATAGAATAGCAGCAAAACCAATGTCACTGTGGCAATGTCAGCTCAAGAAATCCAAGCAAAGGGGGGGTTGTGAGACCAACACAGCCAACACATGTACAGAGTGCCCAGCAGAAATAGTGCATGCACAAAGTGTCCAGCAGAACCAGTTCACGAACAGAGATGATGCTTCCATCCTCCATTGTTTTCAATGGAGGGGCGGGAAAAGAAGGCATTTAAAGGAAGGCACCAGGTTTTGCTGGGCACTAGTACATTGCACTGGTATTCTGCTAGGCTTGCAACCCCTCCTTGCTTGGATTTGTTAAACTGACGTTGCCAGAGTGGCACTGGTTCTGCAAAAATGCCCCCCCCTCATTTTTTGCTACGGAGACTCTCTGGTTTTATATTAGTCCCTGCTTTTTTGCTGTTTTTCCCTCCTTTGGAAATAATGAAGATGGGGGCACCTTCTTTGGGAGCCCATAGAACTGGACTCCCTGGTCCAATCTGTTTGAAATTTGGGAGGTCTTTTGAGTAGAGGCCCCAGAATCTATGCTGAAAATGTGGTGCCTTTACCTAAAAAAAAAGTCATCCCAGACCCCCACATACCCTCAGATAGATTTCCATTATAGCCCATGGGGATCATTGAGTATAATGGTCCCCATAGGCTAAAATGGAGCTGAAGGCATTTAAAAGTGTCACAGTCCCTTTCAATGCATTTGTGAAGCTGCAGCTTTGCCCAGAAAGACATTTAAAAAGAGCGCACTCTGTTAAAATGACATTTAACTGTGGCTATTCCTCCCCCCCCAGGATTGGCTATGCTTGATAGCCAAAAATACACTCCCCTCTATATCCAGCTGAAAGAATAACCAATAAATACCAATAAGGTATTTTCTGGCTATTTTTTTTTCCAGATCAGAAATTCTAACTCAAGTGAAGCTGTTGGCTTTCTTTTTTTCTTTAATTGTTTAACCTTTTGCATTAAATTACTTTATGCGCAAAGCAAAATAATCATATATTTGGTGTCATATGGATTCAAAGAACTCATTTTATGCTTTTTATGTTCAAACATAAGAAAACCAAGTCCAGCAAAGCAGACATATTTTTGAATGAAGATCCATTTTTTAGTTATGGAGAGTTCCAGTAAAATGTAGGAAGAGTTAAGCCGCTTTACACATTTTTAGACAATTTTATTAACTAGTTCTTAAAAGTACATGGCATACCAAGCATTCTTTTCAAAAGAAATTGTTGGAGTCTGTTGTTTTTATGTACAAATGGAGTGCTAACTGGAAATACTGAATAATTTCCATATAATTGCTGTTGTATGCTTTGTAAACTTAGTTGTGATTTCCTAGCATACAGTGGAGTACAAAAAAACAATCCTTTCATTTTTAAGCACAGCAGTTTTTCATTGTTTAGTTTCAAAAATTAGAAGTTAGTAAATGTTCTGTCTGCCATCAAGTTTAAATGGATTAAGTAGATTGCAGTTAACTAATCTAATTTTTCTTTTCAACGCACTTGTTGACAAAAAAGAATGTATCCACACGTATGCTGGAGGTGCAGATTATATCTCTGGAAAAACAGAGGCAAGAGGTAATTTTAATCATTCTTTTTTGGACACTTGAGCTGATAAAGCACAGCAGTTAACCTTGATTATAAACGGAGGTGGATCCTTCTAAACACCTTTGCCCTACTACAGAAACTGTGGGTTGGATCCCGTGAACTGAATGCAATGTGTATGTGGACTGTATATCTTCACATTTAAAGGCATCTGAAGAACCACCACGAACATCTATGAATTTTGATACAGTTTGTGGTGGTTCATGGTGGTTTGTGAAGAGCAGAACACAGGGGTTTCCAAAGCCGCAGGGAGCAGAAAGCAGGAGTTTCCGAACAGCTGAGTGCCACAAACCACAAACTGAACCTCAAAAATGTGGTTCATGCCCATCCCTGGACAGACCTTTTTAGTAATAAAAACGTTGCTATTTTTAAATGTTTCCTGTCCTCCTGAGCTTTTGAAGATAGGGAAAATGAAATCACTAAAATAATATATCAAACAATTAATATATTAAAAGATTAAAACACAAGATGACTGTTGCATTTTAAGAACATGACTGATTAATAATTTCAGCTTTTGGCAGTGAACAATCAATGGGATCAACAGTTCAGGCAGATGAAGCAGTACTATGAACAAAAGGTAAGAAAAAAGGCTGTATTGCTAGACTTAAATTAGATCCTTGCCCTGATTGTGACTGTTGCTTGATTTTTTTTTTTTTGTGGTACTAGTTAAAAAACACAGTCCAGCATTTCTTCAGCTGTATTAAAAAGGGTGCTTGGATTAAAATGAATACCAGTCACCATGTGCATTGAAGTTATAACCCAAACTAGCCAGAATAGCAAGGATTTATTTATTTTACTTCATTTATACCATGCCTTTGTCCCCACTGGGAACACAAAGTGTCTTACATAATTCTGTTCTCCATTTTATCTTCATAGCAACATTTAGTTGTTTTAAATATTTTTATATGTTTGTATTTTAAATGCTGTTTTTAATATTTGAAATGCTTTAATGCCTGCTGCCTTGGAGATCCTGAGCTGGGTAAAAGGCAGCATGGAAATGTTTTAAATAAATACATAAGTGAATCCTGCAAGATAGGTTAGGCTGAGACTGTGTGACTGGCCATGTCACGCATGTTACCCACCCAGCAAGCTTCCATAGGGCTGCCAGATGATGGCTGATTCCAAGCAGGAGATGGGAGGGTGGGGACAGAGGATGGCCTGTCAATGTGATGGCATGTCGTCATGCCCAAGGAGAACCCAGAAGTGACATCATGCTGCTCTAGGAATAACTGGAAATGCTATGGAAACACAATAGAGTTTGTGCTGATTCCTAGAGCAGCATGATGTCACCTCTGGGCTTTCCCCAAAAGTGACATCATGCCATCATGCCAATGGCAATGATGGAACAGCAGCATGAAGCAGGGGTTGCCAACCAACTGAAATCTCCTTTACTGAAACTTTAGTTCATTTCCTATCTAAACCATTTCTGTTCCATTAAATGTAATGAAGCCCCCATTCTAGGTCTTCACATTGTGGGTCCGACTCACAAGCCAAAAGTGGGTTGTCCTGACTTAAAGGACGACACACCGCCATCACCACCATTTTCTACCTTTTCAAATTTCTTTGGAGAGTCAGCGTGGTGTACTGGTTAGAGTGCTGGACAAGGATCTGGGTTAAAATCCCACGGTGCTATGAAGCTTGCTGAGTGACCTAGGAGTTGGACTAGTCACTTTTTCTCAGCCTAACCTACCTCACAGGGTTGTTATGAAAAATTAAGGCAAGGAGAATAATGTATGTCACCTTGAGCTCCTTTGAGGAAGGGTAGAATAAAATGTATTCATTAATAATAACAATATGCTGTTCTTGCCACAGTCCTTGCAGCTGCTCTGCAGAGTAAGCCAGTGCTCATACCCTCACTTTGCAGATGGAGGAATGTTAAGGGGAGGGAGCTGAGAATGAAAAAGGGTGGCTTACTTGCTTAAATCAGTGGGATTTGATAACTGAGGTGAGATTTGAATGAGTGACTGCTGCACACAGTTCAGACAATTCAGTTTCGGAACAGCCTTGTAATATTTCTTGAGACTATCATTAGGTCTCTGAAGTGGCTCCTATTTTTGAAATGTTGACCTGGCAACCCTAGTCATCCAGTCCTGCTCTAAAACAGTATGTCTGTAACTTGAGGCATTCCTTAGATTCTCACACTGGCCATTGTATTACCCAACTAGTTACTGATTGCTGATATTTCCTGGTGAAATTGTTTTGAGAGAAATTGGTATATCTTAACTTTGGTTTTGTGATCACGCAGGTCACAGAACTGAAAACAAAACGTGAAATAATGCAAAAGAGTGTCAAGGATCTGGAAAAGGAAAGGCACCAAGTGCAGAAAGAATGTCAAAGGCTGGAAGCCCTGGCAAGGGATCAGTACTTACAGGAAATGGTAGGAGGGCTATGTTATTTTATCCTTTGTGTGAGTACTTACATGCCTGGATGCCAATATGTAATGCATTGATCTGGTTTGTGTGGTTGAAGTCTATATGTTGTAATCTCTCACCAGCCCTGCCTGTTCATCTACTCTTTTTAAATTCTGTCTTCTTTCATTTTAATCTATTTTATCACTTTTTCTTGCATTCCCCTCCCCCGCCCCAGCCAGTTGGGAGAGTTATTATGCAGGAGATTCTGAAATTCAGGCTTTGCTTTTTCTTCTGAGCAATTATGGTCAGATTCTTCTATCCTGGATAAGGATAAGGAACACTAATGGAGTCCATCTTTCACTCCTCTGCACTGTGTCAGCTTTCAGTGCTTTCCCACTTATCAGTCTTTTGCCCCCTTACCCTGAATGACAATACAACACACATTTTTAGGTTTAACTAGGAATTATTATCAGCAAACAACTGATCTGTAACTTAACCATTCTTAAAGCATGGGCTCTAACAGGCTTGCTAAGCGAGCCTCTCAAACTGGGCAGCCCCATCCCAGCTAAGATCCAGGTTTGGATGTTTCCCAAGCCTTTCTCTTCAGGCCCACACCTGGTTTGCATAGAGGGGAAGGAGGAGCACAGGCCCACCCCAGACTGTACAGCCTTAGTGCTTGCCATGTGTCCCCTCTCAGCCCTGAGGAGGCCATCCCCAAGTCACCCAGACTGTGTAGCCAATAGGTACCCAGATGAATCACAGATGCTCTCAGGGTACTTGCCAATTATAACTTCTTAGCTGGTGCTTTCCAGCCAACAGAGGGTGTTAGCCTTGGCTTAACTCCCCACCAACCCACCGCACACCAAAAGGCCACACAGGCCTCCCTGCAGATCAGCTAGAAACATATCGGTCCCACTGGCCGATAAAGGTACTCCATCGCCATGGAACAGATGCGGCAACAAGAATTTGATCCCCAGGTATGGAATAACTATTCCACCTCCAGAGACCACCGACCTGCCAATGACATTGTTCAACCACTACCTGGCTTTTTACATTTTGGCTGGGTAGGAGGCACCCCTCCAAACCCTCTGGGGCAACAAATTGGACCAAACTACCAAAACACCATGAAACAAGCAGTAATTAACTTGAAGTTTGTGAAGGATCTCATGCAGCAAGACTAGCACTGACCTGTTGCTCCGATCATTGTTGCCTAAATGCACAACTACAACCTGGAGAGGTGCTCCTATGCTCTTGCACTCGTGAAGGAGAAGTAACAGCTGGCTCCAATGCATGCCTCTCTTCCCCAACCATTCAACAGAGGCCATATCTCCAATACCTAGCTGGGAACTGATGCTGGAGCAGCTGGCCCTTCATTGCCCCAATACACAATGTAATGTCCACAAATCAACATGTTAGTCATGGCCGGGCTTGTGCCACACCCTGTAAAACAGCAAATGATTAATGCCTTCAATGCTTTCACACGTAAGTGTGATACACTTTGGACTTCCACCATCCAAGCTGCTGAAGCTTTGCTGAAGAGGTGTCCAAAGAGATATGCAAGGACACCTCCAACAAAACAACCTTACACCAGAAAGACACCCTACTGAAGCTCTGCAGAAACTCTAACCAAACATGAAGGTTGGCCTTAATCTCGCCAGAAACCTGAATCCTATGATGTGGACTGCATACTTCTTTCAAACAACCACTGATTCTGTGCAAGAAGGTGTGGCCTGGTGCCATAACCCTACTTGTGAAATGCAGACGCCCCAACAAAACCTACCACTCCTTAAGCATGAGGCTCCTTTGACTCACAGGGTGTTTTACTAGAATCTCTAATTCAACTACCTTGTCCCAGGTCAACACAGAAAGTTCCCTGATTGAATCAATCTGAACACCTAAGAAGGAAAGAACCAAGCTCAGACCCTCAGTTTTCTCCTCTGCAAGAGGCACACCCAAGTCCGCAGCAAGGTCCTGAAAACCCAACATAAACAACTGACACTCATCTGTCCCTGGCTGGCTTGCAAACAAAAAATCATCTAAATAATGAACCGCATTTGAGGTATTTACATGCTGTCTAAATGCCCACTCCAACAAAGTGCTGAACTTCTCAAAGGCTGCACATCAGCAACAACCTGTCAGTGTCAAACAAACCACCAAAGGTGAAACCCAATAATTTGAAATCATCAGGATGTATTGGTAGTAAACAGAACACTTATATCACACTTGCCCATAAGGGCACCTTGTCCACAGCATGAGGTCATCGAAACTGCCTTATCAGAAGAGGCATAATGCGCCGTTGCCAGATCCTCAGAAATTTGATGGAATCCCTATGGGGATACGACAGGTGATGGATTAACTGATACTCTCCCTTTGATTTCTTTGGTAGTCTTCCCAACAGGGATATACGCAAAGTCATCTTTTTTACTAGTACAATAGCATTAAAATAAAGCATGCAGGTTTTCTGTGCTTTCCAATAGAGCCAGAGCTACCATTGTGTTGTATTTTACTATTGCTAGGGACTTAAGTGATGGAGGGGAAGTCAGTCATATGAAGACTATCCCATGGCACTTATGAGACGACCATCCACCAGGCTCTTCTAGACTGCATAAAGGGGATTATTTTGTCAGAGGCTTCCAAAATGCTATCCCATAGACTCAATAAACTCCCAGTCTACCATTATGGTAGGCAGAATTCCTGTCACTGTCTACTGGCAACAGCAACCTGCAAAAATTGGCAGTCATACCCAGTGAAGTTCATGTATCTCCCCCACCCCCACCATTTTGGAACAGTGGTACTTGGATTATGATAATTTTACAAGATGTTATTGCTACGGTTTTACAAGATGTTATTGCTATGGTACTCCATCCATGACAGTCACTGATATTTTCTTGGGGGGGGGGGTTTGTACAGGCATATCTTCTAACAACAAGGCCTTCAGGGTGGTATTTATAGATGTGAACAGATCAGCTCTATATTTTTTGGCTACCTCATATAGTTTTATGGGCTATATGTGCCGCAAGAGAGCCCAAAAGGTCATCAATGGCTTTAGAATATCTGGGACGAGCTATCCATCAATTTTGGTGTTGCTTTCTTTCTGAAAATTTTGTCACTGGGAATAATAAAAAAATAGATCACAACTGTCAGACTGCAGTCTTTCTGAGGGGGGAAACCCTGAGAAATGCAACCATCTGCACTTTTTCAGCATATCTATGTGTTTTTACATTCCAGAGAGACAAAGAAACCCTTAAGGAAGAGAACAGGCTTCTGAAAGAAGAAACTGCCTTGGCAAATGCAAAGAAAATACATTATGAATGTGAAATTAATCGCCTCAACAAGGTATGAATAATTCTTGTTTCAGTATTTCTGTTATCGATTAGAAATCCTTGCATAGTACATAAATCCGTTTGGCAATATTGGACTGTAAAGTTTCTTTTTTCTGCTACCTGCTGTGTTAATGTGGGCATAGTGGTAGAATGAATTCCCACTTTGGGTTGCTAACCTCCAAGTGGGGCCTAGAGATCTCCTGGATTACAGCTGATCTCCATTGGTTCCCCTGAAGAAAAAGGTATAGAGCAGTAGTGTCAAACATATGGGCTGCGGTCAGGGACCGGCCCATCCAGGGCTCTTATCCAGCCTGTGAGCAATTGGTACAAGAGAGGGAAGGCAGGAGGCTGTTGGGGGGGGACAAATGGGCATACGCTGTGAGGTGTGTGGTTGATGCTGTCAAGAAACAGAGAGGAAATGGCTAGGGGATGGAACTAAGAGGATGAGGTAAAATAGTGTGGAGGGAATAGCAGCAAGGGCGGAGAAAGAGGAGGCATGGTTTTCCCCCTCCTGCCTCCTCTGAGCACAGCTCAGTGAGGATTGATGAAGCCACTGCATGGGTGGCAGAGCCAAGCAGCTGGCACTGCCACTGCCACACCAACCGGCTTTGGGGTTTTTTTAAAATAGCGACTGTGAGTGGGGATGCCGAGAGTGGATGTGTGGATCTGTGGCTTGCTGATGAAGGGATGGGGCTAGCAGGGGGAAAAGGCAGAGGGCCGGTGCGCGGATTGGGAGGCAACTGGGCTGTCTTGTGCATGTTGCTCTGAGGAGAAAGATTTCCCGGGCTCAGAAGTGAGTGGAGGAGCAAAGGGGAAAAGGGGCGCCACTGTTGCTGCAGCACATCTGAACAGCCATGGAGCTGGGAGGCAGAGTGAGTTTCAGGGCGGGTGGGGGTGGTGGCCTTCCTTCTTCCCCCCACCTGTTCTCACCCCATGAGGGAAAAGGGGTTGTGATAGGACAAAAAGTGCCCCCTGGAGGTTTTGGAAACAGCCTCTCCATCAGGCTTTCCCTTAGCCCCTTTGCTTCTGTGGGAAATGTAGGAACAATGAAAACCTGGGGGGGGGAGCCAGGTTTAGACCTCCCCTCTTCCTGAGCCAAGACCCTGTCGTATGGGTCACCCAGGGCCGGTTGCTCAGCCTGGCCCACCTTACAAGGTTGGTAGTGGTGGGGACGGGGCAGTTGAGGGTGAAGTCCAGTGTGCCTCCTCGAGAACCTTAGAAGTAGGATGGGGGAAGAGAGGAAACAAAGAGTGAGAGATGGATTGTAGTTGTGCTCAGTTGCTGGGGCTGGGCATTTGGGATGTGCATGCTGAAAAAACTACCTTATTTACTTGCAAGGAAGATACCTTGTCTCCTAAAAGTGCTCTCTCTATAAAAACTAACTAATTTGTATGGAAATGTAAGATATCCCCCTTGGGAAAAACCTAGTCTTGCATGTGATTAAATACATTTATTAGGGCTTTCGTGCATTCCTCAGTAAATCAATTGCTTTCAATGCTAGGAATCAGTTGCTTTTGTTTGTATTTTGAATTTTAAAAATTGCTAATGGGGTAATCAGTTGTAAAGTTTATATCTCTGGTACCTGGCATTACTTTTTATGGCACACATGGCCCAGCCTGACAAAGTAACATTTATGTCAGATCTGACCCTTGTAACAACTGAGTTTGACAGTTCTGCAGAGTCATTGAATTATAGAATCATTATTCTATGGCTCTATAGCATTAATACCCCACTGAGGTCCCTCCATAAATCCCATTCCGAAACCTCCCATAATTTCCCAACCTGGAGCTGACAGCCCTATTCTCACTTCCAATCCATAGGTGTAGGGCAGACAGAAGACTGTTATAAGGGAGAGTTATTTTTCCTCCACAGCAGGCAGGGATCTCTGGCTTTTCATCAGTACTTACCTGCTTCTCACTTCATGTGATGTAAAATATAAAATGGGAGCTTTATATCAATAAACATCCTTTGGACCTTTATCACCTATATCTATGGTATGTTTGCAGATTTGGATCTCACTTCTGAGTGTACCGTTGGCTCTATGGACAGTCTTCTCATCCTTCATCAGATATCTCCCTGTTCTCCCATTATCTTTTGTATTTTGTAAGATTCTTTTGCATGCTATTTTACCCACTAACTCTTCAGTGAAATGCTGATTTTTGCAAACCTTTATGTGACAGGAAATTTAGATACCACTTGTGATTTCCTAGCTTCTACAAGATATTTTAACTTCACTGTTTCAGTTCTGTAAAGCTGCACTACTTAAGTGGATCTGTAAGTAGTACTAGGACATTTCTTACACACCCAGGGAAATGCTGATGCCACCTTGGAGGCAGGCAGCAATTTTTCTCCAGGCCAGTTTGGCCTATGATCCTGGAGGTTTTTTGCCATCATCTGGGCAGGTAACAGAGGTCACTGAGGGTGTGAGTGGGGGGGGGAGATATTTGTGAATTTCCTGCATTGTGCAGGGGGTTGGACTAGATGACCTTGGAGGTCCCTTCTAACTCAATGATTCTGTGATTCTGTTTAATGACTGGTTCAAATGTGCTGCATGGCCAACAGATTTCCCCCACAAGATTACACAGTTATTGGTTGGTGCACATGTCCCTGATTGAACAAATTAAATACTGTGTGAAGAACACACACACACATCAGTGCATGAGGTAGCAGTGACTTCCATGATCCTGATAGCACTTCTTGGATCTGCTTGGAGAATAAGAATCAGTGTCATCCTACATGATGCACACATTGCAATGTGCTTTCAGTTCATGTGGTATTTCCTTATAAATGTAAAAGCACAGAGAAATGTTGGTGGACTGTTCAGCGTGAAAACCTTTGTCTTCAAAGAAACACAGAGGTTTTTCTGTTGCTTCTTTTTAATAACAAATAGTTAAGATTTCACTCCTAATATTTTATATTGAAATGCAACTTTCCAATATAAGGTAGATCTATGCTATATTAAAACATTTAAGCTGATCCTCTAATATGGCTGTGTGTGTATTGAGAGAAATCATATATATAATTCATTGTACTAGAAAAAATAGCCTTGATCAAACTCTCACAACTTTACAATTCTCAGCAGCAGAAACTGTGATGTTTGAAATGCTAAACTATGAAGGGGGAGAATAAACCCCAGTTTAGCCACAAACAGCTGATAGGAAGTTCTGAGATCAGTGGTTCCCAACATTTTTAGTTATGAGGACCCCTTTTAAAGATTTTTTTTTAAAATGCATGGACCTCCTCTATAATAGTAGTGGTACTATCATTACCTGTTGATTGAGAAAATACATAATGACAAAAAGATCCAAATGTCAATGTGTGCTGCACGTACAGATTCACGGACCCCTCCTGGAGTCCCTAGTCCGGAGTTTGGGAACCATTGATTTAGAGTACAATGGTTCCAGGCCTTGTGTATATACACAACCTTGGTTGTTGGAGCAGGGAAGGGAATTGCCTGTGCAGCAACTCTTCCTGTCCACATATGCCCCCTAACTGTATACTACAGATATGCCATATGTTTCTCAAAAATTGTAAAAAGGAATAAAGCCAAGAACTGAGATTAATGAACATAGTTTCAGCAAGAGCAAGAATATAATGCAATGGCTTAAAAAAAAAGTCCTGGTAAACCACAAGCACTTCCTCAGGAAACAGAAAAGATAGCTCACTCTATCTCAGTTTGAAAACTAGCTCTGCACTAGAGACAAGACACAAAACTTTAGACAGGAAAAATACACATTGCTATTAGTAAAATAAAAATGTTAGTATTACTAGTAAAATTACAAATAGATTCTTACAATGCACTATGGATGAAGAAAGAAAATGAAATTTCACAAGCTAGCATTCAAAAAGAAAGAAGAGGCATATGAAGTTGTACTTTTACTCACAAGGCAACCTTTTTAAGGCATGACTAAAAACTTCAGTGGGAAGGTAACAGCGTTCTGTGCACCTTGGTGTTTAGTCATGCCAGTCACATGACCACGGAAACGTCTTCGGACAGCGCTGGCTCTTCGGCTTTGAAACGAAGATGAGCACTGCAACCCTAGAGTCGGATTCGACTGGCTTTCGAGAAAGGGAACCTTTACCTTTACTTTTTAAAAATTCTGAAAAATCTGAGGATGGCAGAACTGCCAACCATGCATGCAAAATAAGTTATAGAAAATCCCTCTGCCTTATTTGATGCGATTTGTGCTTTATGGAATAATATAGTTATCACTCAGTTTTACAAATCAAGGGTTTTTTTTACAGATGCGTACTTCATAATTTTGTATGTATACCGGATGAATGTAACTTTTCATGTATGTGTGGGGGGAACCTGTTATAGCATTAAAAAGTTATTTTATTAGCAACTGAGACTTCAATCTGCATGCCAATTTTCCCACGATTCCTTTGATCCAATGCTTCCTTTCTACAAAGTGAAGAGAAGCCTTGCTCCGGTGGGAGAAGCCTTGCTCTGGTGGAGGAAGACTGGTTAGTTGGAGGAAGCAGAGTGCCCAACGCTGACTTTGAAAGTGCTGGGAATTTGGGGGGGGCGGGTTTCCTGGGAAAGGCAGAATTTGAATGAGACGTTATATCACTTCTGGATGATGCTCTAGGCTGTCATAGAGTGTCACTATGTGGAGATCATTTTTTCCTCCCTCTCCTCAATTCCTTCAGCAGAGAATTTGGCAGTAGGGGTGAGTCATTCCCCACCCAGAGTGGGTTAACGGGATGGCTAAAAAGAAGAGAATTGTTAGATTTAACTCTGCCAGTTGGAGAATTCTAACTCAAGATCCAAAGTAAAGTCTTAAATTGAGGAGCAGCGGTTGTAACACTGTAGAACATGGATCAGACAATCCCTCATGCTCCATCAGATGCTGTTTTTGAGCATAAGAATGTAAGAAGACCATAAGAGCTTGCTGGATCAGACCAGTAGTCCTTCTAGGATTTTGTACAGACAGGGTAGTTCCGGACCTTCAGAACAGGGTGGGCAGCCTCCACGTGGTAGCTGGGGGACTCCTGGGTTTACAACTGATC